GCGGAGCCCCAGCCTGGGGTCTGGTAGCCTTTCCTTTGGAAGTCGCGCGTACCGGGCTGGCGCACATTTATGCTGTCGTGCAAGCGCGTCGCTGCACGCGGCCTGCAGAAGGAATGACAGCTCGGCGGCAAGGCTTTTCTTGCGCCGGGACGGCTAGGCTTTTTGTGAGACGCCGCTCGCGGAAATCGAGGAAGGCTTGGACTTTTCTTTTCTTGGGAAACGGGAGTGTTGGTTTAGAAGAGGCTGGCCAGCGACTGGACACACCGGCATGGGGGGACGCAAGCAAGGACGGGGATTGGAGGTTGTAGAGAGATTTAACTTTTAAGCACAGCTCGAAGGCGAAATAAAATTAGAAAGAAATGTACTCCCTCCCTCCCCCCCACCCCCCCACCCCCTCTCTCTCTCTCTCTCTCTCTCTCTCTCTCTCTCTCTCTCTCTAAAACCGTCTCACTCAAAATCTTTCTCTTTCTATCTCGGCTCTCTCTCTCTCTCTCTCTCTCTCTCTCTCTCTCTCTCTCTCTCTGTCTCTCTCTCTCTCTCTCATGTCTCAAAATCTCTCTCTCAGAAGCGGAGCACACACGAAGATCGAAGTCGGCACAACAAAAATCCCCTTTGCAGCCAAGCCTACGGGGCACCTAATTCTTTTGGTTGGCAAAAGTGGGGCTCGGGGGCGCAGAGAAACCGCTCACGCCGTGTTCTCACCGAAATGCCGATCGACCTCGACTCCTGGTGCTCGTACTCGACTGAGAAGCAGATTGTCGTGCGGCACCGCTGGGCCGGCATTCTCTACTACTCGTGCTGCCTCTTCGTCCTGATCTACGTCGTCGCCGTGCAGATCATCGCCAACCAGGGCTTCACGGCGTTCCAGGCCCTGAGTGGCACCGTCAAGGGCAGCTTCTTACCGCCCGCCTCGCTCTCGCCGGTCGATTCGCTGCACTACTGCAACCAGTCCGCCAAACGGAGAGGCGCCGCGCAGCCGTGCGTGTCTTGGGACGCTTCGCTCACGACGCAGACCTACTCCAACGCGCTCCTCGTGGGCACGCGCGTCACGCGGCGGCTGCAGCGCCGCAACGCGTCGTGCGGCGAGCTACAGTATGGCTGTGCCCCATGGGCCCAGGCGCCCGACGATGTGGTCTCTGCCTACGTCGGCGATGTCGAGAGCGGGACTGTGCTCGTGCAACACTCCGTCTCGTCGCAGTCGGCGCTCTCTCTCTTGCCGGGCGGGCGCGACGCGCTCGACTCCTTCGGCCCTCGCAAGCCGGCCACGCTCACCGGCGCCGACGGCACGACCGTCGCGACAGTTCCGTGCGACGGCCAGAGGAGCGAGCACGACCCCCGGTGCGGCAAAGGGAGGGGCGACCTCTTCACACTCGGGCATATTCTTCTTCTTCTTATTATTATTATTATTATTATTAGGTGCGGCAAAGGGAGGGGCAGCCTCTTCACACTCGGGCATATTCTTATTCTTCTTCTTATTCTTCTTCTTCTTATTATTATTATTAGGTGCGGCAAAGGGAGGGGCGACCTCTTCACACTCGGGCAGCTGCTCGCTGCGGCAGGCGTCGACCTCGACGCGCCGAGCCTCTCCTCCGTCGGCGAGACGAAGCGCAGCGCCGGAGTCACACTCATCCTCTCCGTCGACTACCGCGCCAACCTCCTCACCAGGCGGCAGTGACAGTGGGCCGTGACCGTGGGCCGCTTCCACGCACAAAGCAACACCCCGGGCCCGAAATCGCACGACAGCACAGTGGGCCGCTTTCACACCTCGCCGACGTTCGACCCAACCCCGACCCTGACGCCGACCTCTACCCCCGGCCGTAGGAGCGCGGACTACTCCTACCTCGTCAACGCCTCTCGGCTCGAGGCCAGCCGACCTTGCAGCTCCTCCCTAGACCCTCCCAGACCCTTCCTCGAGCTTCCTGCAGCCGCCTGTAGGCAAAGGCGACCTTCTTCGGCTCCTTCGCCTCCACCTTCGGCGCCGTCCCCAACGCGACCCGCGAGGTCTTCTCGCTGCACGGCGTCCAGCTCATCTTCGAGCAGAGCGGCGGGCTCACCTCCTTCGATTTCTTCACCCTCCTCCTCACCTTCGTCTCGGGCCTCGCCCTCGTCTCCATCTCGAAGAGCATCACAAACACCTTCCTTCTCTACCTCGCGCCCCGCCGCAACGAGTACCGCCTCTTCCTGCGCTCTCAGACACCGGACTTCGCGCCCGCCAACCAGGCCGAGCGGCGCGCACTCGCCGACCTCGTCGCCTCCAAGCGGCGTAAGCGCGCCATCTGTGACGGCCAGCCGGCCGCCCCGGAGCAGTCCACCGAGCAGACCCTCGTTTCGCCGCTGGCGCCGCTCTCCGAGGAGCCGACCGCACCTCTCCGCGCGGGGAGCCGCGCAGAGTAGCGTCCAGCGAGCGCCTGGATGGCGAACGTACGCGCGCTAGTACCGTGTAATTGTACGTCATGTTATGCGATGTGTGTGTCATCTGTGTCGATATAGTCGTAATAGACTATTATAGTGTGATTGTGCACCCTTGGAGGTACACCTGTAGCATCCGTGTACAGGTACACGATTCGGCCCCCCGCTCCACGACGCACGAGGCACCCGGCGCGCATCCATGGCCCGCCGCCGCCCCCCGCGCCCCCCGGCCCCGCCGCCCGCGCACCGTGTCCGCCGGGGGGCCCGGCCGGGGGCGCGCGTATCTCGCCGTCTCGGCGGTCTCGCTCTCGGCCGGTCGGCGTCCGCTGATATTTTTCGTATTCAGATTTCAAAGTAGTGACTAGTCAAAACTCAAATGTGCAAGATGCAGAACCAGGAGGGAAACACTTACCTTCCGAGGTTCAAGCCGTCCTCATCCACCACCTGCCCGACCAGCCGGCCTAGCGCCGGGTGCGATTTCAACACAAAGTCACCCGCCTTCGTGCGCAGCCAAACGCCGCGCTGGGCGGTCGCGCTGAGGTCTGCGCCGCGCGGGAGGGTGCGCGTCACCGCCGCCTTCAGAGAGGGCCGCGCCCGCGCGTTGACGAAGGGCCCTTCGAAGACGACGCGGTGCGGCCTGTCTGGCAGCGGCAGCGGCACCTCTCCCTCCGCCGGCTCGGACTGCAGCGCGGCGAGCTCTGCCGTCGCCGCGTCGAGGAGGTGCACGGCCCGCGTGGCGCAGCGGACGAGCCGGACGGAAGGGTGGCTGCCGTCGTACCACAAGCTCGCACCGCTCCCGCCGCCGCTCCCACCGCCGCTGCTCCCACCGCCGCCCTCCGCGGCGGGCGGCGGCACCTCCGTCGCCGCTCGCCTCGCCGCCTCGCACAGCGCCCCTCGCGTGCCTCCCGCGCAGAGGCGGAGGGCGATGCGGCGCTCCTCCGCGGCGGCGGCGATGAGGGCGGCGTTGGCGGCAGCGGTCTCGAGCCCATGCGCTGCTCCGAGACCGGCGACCCAAGCGGCTGCGTTGCCGCCACGCAGCGCGAAGAGCTGCGCCGAGGTGGCCAGCAGCGCCTCCGCCTTGGCCGCCGCTTCCGGCGGCGCCGCGCCGCCGCGCACGCAGGCGACGTAGCGGTGTGCGACTGTGGCCGCCTCGCCCGTGCCCGCCTCGGCTGCGCCCGCCTCGGCTGCACCCGCACCCGCACCCGCACCCGCACCCGCACCCGCCTCCGCCTCCGCCTCCGCCGCCGCCGCCGCCGCCGCCGCCGCCGCCGCCGCGGCTCGCGCCTCCGCCTCCGCCCCCTGTGCCTCGGCGAGGAGCGGCAGCGGTGCGGCGTGAGCGAACGGGTTTTGGCGCGAGGGAAGCAGGGTGCGAGCGCCGAAGAGGCGGAGCAGCGCTTCCTGCCCCGCCGCCTCGCTGGCGTTGTAACATGTTAATATGCACGGTGCGCGCATCGCGAGCACGGCGGCGAGGGTGGGCAGCCACGGTGCCACGAGAGGAAGCAGCAGCGTGCCGACGCCGGAGTTGAGGAGCAGCATTGCGTCCGGCCCTGTGGTCAGCGCGGGCGCGTCCTTCAGCCGCGAGTGGAGCGTGCCACTGACCGCACGCACGAGCGGCCGCGGCGGCGGACGCTGGTCGGCCGGGCCCCACTCGCGCATTTCTGGGCCGCACAGGATGAGCTCGACGCCGTGCCGCGCCGCTGGTGGCCAGAGGGCGGCCAGGGGCTCGGCGAGGAGCCCGCGCCGTGCAAGCTCTCCCTCCATCGCCTCTCGAGCGCCGACTATCCACAGCAGCAAGCGGCCGCCCTCGCCGCGGCCAGCGCCGCAGCCAACGGTCCCTGGTGGGAGCACGCCGAGCGCAAACGCGATGGAGGCTGCCGTGGTGAGTCGCGCCCGCCGCAGAGCCGTATCGGGCAGGCCGCCGCAAAGGTGCGCCACATCAGGCCAGCCACGCGGCTCACCCACGTTACCGTTGACTGTAGGCAGTGCTCGCCTCCGCCAGTCGCATCGTTGAGCGCTTGCGGGCCGGCCAAACACGTGCGCCTGGCGACGGTCCATTCATGCCAAGCGTGTGCGTGCGCACTGCGATTCGCCGAGTGGCGGCCGGTACAGGGCTGGTTGTTCGCGCCAGCAGCAAGCCAGCCGCCCTCGTCTTCTTTTGGGTGAGCCGGTGTGGTGCCAGTCCGCGCCAGTCCGCGCCCTTGTCGTGCCAGAATTCTTCGGAATAAGCTGAAAATAACGCACGGGCCTCAGCGGAGCTGGGAAGAGGACCGCCGCAAGCGGCGTGGCGTGAGTCGGTTGTGCATCCCTCCGGGGGCCCCTCTGCGCCGGGGAGGCGTTGTTGGAGGCTAGGACGCAAGCGTCCGTCGCCCTTTTCAAACTCGGGGCCCACTCCGCTACGCTCCGACCCGAATTTGGAGGGCCTGAAAAGTTCAAGGTGTTGCTGCGCAAAAGGGTGGGGAGCCGCGGCGGCGCCGCAGGCGCGGGCGCGCAGTGGAAGCACGCTAGCCATACATGTTCACGCAGAGAAGCTGACGGTCGGGGTCGTGACGGCTCGAGGGTGCGCACACTATCGGCCGGACGCCTCACCCGCGGACGCCTCACCCGCACGCGCACCCTCCAACATCGCCGCCGAGCCCAACGCCCTGCCGTCAATCTCGACGAGCGCCGCACACCTGCGCGGACAGTGGGCAGACGTTGCCGCCTTGTGTCCTCGTGTGCCCGGAGAGCCTCAAGCCGGCGCGCACCGGTGGCAGCGCAGGATGAAGCGGCAGCAGTGGAGGGTTGGGGCGCATTTGAGGCGCTGGCCCCGACGCGCCATTAACTGGGTCGGGGTGGTTCCTCACCCCTCTGGTTTCAGTCAAGCGGGAAGAGTCTGTGCAAGGGGGGCGGATGGGGCTGGCTGCGTCACCTTGGAGCATGAAAGGTTCCTACAGTAAGGCTACTCGAATACGCAGCACCTTGGCTTGGCCCCCGAGCGGGGAGGCGGTCGACGACGCGCAGCATGGCGGTGAGCGCAGCCTGACGACGCGTCTTGATGGACGGATCCTTCTGCCGGCTGACCAATTCCGCCCACCTCTTGACCGGCGGCTTCGTCACCAACATGCGCTCGAGAGGCGGAGCAGCGATCCAGTTCGGTAGCTATCTTGTCGCGCAGCGCATCCATGTGTGTTGCAATAGCCCCCGCTGTGGTTTTTTTCCGAACAAGGTGCTGTCGCACATTGTAAACAAGTTTACAATAGAACAAGTAAACAATTGCCTGGGAAGGCGTTCTGTGCCTCGGTATAGCCGCCACAAAAAGTGTCATGTAAACTATACCACACCGTAGTGGTTTTGACTACGCGTCCTTCCGAGTTCCGTCCGAGGTGCCTGTCGTGGACGTTACGGTTCTCTCAGATTTCAATGGGAGTGAGTGGGGGTTCTATGATTCTAAAAGATACCCCTTACCTCTGGCACGCTTCGATCCATGCTGGAAGCGTCGTAGCCGGCGGGGCGCTCCATTCTGGCATTTCGCCAAATCGACGCCACTCTTTTTACCCCTCGACCGGGGAGTCTGAAACCGGGGTGTCGAGTCCCCCGTCCAAACAGGTTCTTTTTCCCGCTACCCTTACGTTCGGCCGAGCTACACAAAGTCCTTGGGGCTTGGGGTCCCTACTACGTACCACCCCCTGTTTTTTTCGTTTTTCTATTATTGTAATATTGATGTGAACACACCACGCCATCACCTAACCATCACCAGCCCGTGCACGCACAGTGGGCCAGGCCTCTCTCTGCCGTGCCACGATCGCGCACTGCAGCACCTCCCCCTGTCCACGGGCGCAGCCCGAAACAGCGAGAGTGAGCGGCGCTGGGAGGGCGCAGGCCGGCCGCGCACCGAAACTCGCCGCGTTTTCTCTTCTGAGGCACTTGAGCAACGACGACTCCGGTGCCCTGCGGACCCGCCACGTGGAACCGGATCGTCACCACGGGCTGCCCGTTCGCGTGAGCACCACCCTGAAGCCCGCCCAGCAGCTGAACCGCTCCCTAAGGCGAAGGAGCATCATCAGCCTCCCCCACTTCGCTCGCTGCCCACCGTCTAGGGTTGAGATTGTGTTTTTGAGGTTTAAATAATTAAACGAAAACGGACACCTCTACTGTGAGATGGGTAAAAGGAACAGGTCCCCGCCCGTGCGATCTTTGTGCAGGGTTTGCTCTCCAGCGAATTCGATTTTCATTCATAATGGACAAAAGTGTTACCGGGTGTGTTCGATTTTATTAAATGCGCCACAGGTTTTGGCGGGCACTTCGGACCGCCCAGCCGGGTTTCGCTAAAGCAACAGTCGGTCGATGGACTTGAGCGCCCTTGTTGCTGCCCGGAAGCGAGAACGCCCCCGCACCCTGCTCGGCCGAGCGGTCTCGTCGCAGCCCACCAAGCAGGTGCGCAAGTCGCCCGCGTCGGAGGCTCCGAGGCCATCATGTTCGGCGGCGCAGAAACGCCCCAATGCGCCGCCCAGAGCCCTGAATTCGCAGAGCGGTGCGACGCCGTAGCACTCTTCTGCTGATATGATGTGCTGCGCGCGCTAGGCGCACCCTGGCGCGCGGTACACGGGATCCCACCCCATCCCACGACCTGCTCCCAGAAAACTGCCACTCCACCCCCGCTCGTCATCGCGTGGCCCCACATTCTCAGAATGACGCCATTTTCCCCCTTCGCGGCGGCAGGAGCAACTGCGGGGCAGCGCGCGCCGCCCGACCCGGCGCCGCCGGCTCAGGGCCGGGAGGAGATCCCCCCTCGCCGCTTCTATGGGGAGCCGCGAGCCGCTCCCCGCGCCGAGGACTCAGCATCCTCGCAGCCAGCCCCAACGTCTCTCGTCGTTCGCCTGACGGCTGCACAAAAGGAGGACCTGCTTACGGAGCGAGTCAACATGAGTGTGGCGGCGGCAGTAGCCCTCCGCGCACCAAAGCGCTCGGCCGAGACGTGGTCGGCAGTAGCCAAGTGCAGCCCGACGTCGGGTGCGATGGACCTCTTTGTCTGGTGGGCTGAGCCTCGCCCTTTCTCTCTGCGCGCGCTCTGTCACACACTTATGCCTCCCTCGCGTGCAAACACAGGCGGTACATAACGCCCACGTGGACGCTGGAGGCGCAGGCGCGGCCGAAGGTGCGCCAGTGGTCGACGAACTCCCAGTCGGTCCTGCGTGCCACCCTCGACCTGCTCTCGGCGCGGGGCTCCTTCAAGGCGATGTACGACGTGAAGGTGCTAGTCCCGAACAAGGACCGGCCCTCGACGATGGTCGCGGCGGGCGTGGTGCCGGCAACCTTCTCGGTGATCACCAGCGCGCGCAAGACGGTCACGATCGTGCTGCGCATGAAGATGGCCTACTTCAACGCGGTGAGCAGCGCGGTGAGCCCGGGGTACTCGACCCACACGCCTTTGACGCTCTGTCCCTTCTCTAGGTGGGGGATCTGCAGGTGTGTGCGCCGCACCCGCAGCAGGGACCGATCCCAGCCTTCGAGGGCTATGGGGAGTCGGGACTGCTCACGCAGGAGGCGCTCAAGGAGGAGATCAAGCAGTCGATCCGCCTGATGGTGTCGACCAGGCCGGCGTGGGGCAAGTACTTGGACCCGCGGCTGCTCACGGCGGCGCGACGCACGCCGGAGCAGGAGGCGGCGGCGGCGAGGCAGGAGGCGACGAGGGTGGAGAGGCTGGCGGGGGGGGCGGAGGCGGACGAGGACGCGACCCAGCCGTCCGCATCGCCGGCCAGCGTGCTGGCGGAGTCGGGCACGCCGCATCGGCCGTCGCAGGCATCGACAATCAGGGCTCTCTAGCCCGTAACCCGATGCCGATCATCCGGCCCGCTGGGTGCGCTTCTGAGCTCCCCGGCCCTGGATGTGAGGTTACCGACTGCACTCCAAGTGCTCCAAGTGCTCCAAACGTCCCCAAATGGGTTATCTGATGCTTGTAGGGCCTCTGAGAGTGGCCTGCCATGTCACAGGAAGGACTGTGGTTGCAGGAGAGTACCACCAACCATCACTTCAGTTGGTATAGTACCCCACCTTCACCCATCCGGTGATTTCTTTTTAGTTTCCCATAAGTAAGGTAGGTAGGTAGGTAGGTAGGTAGGTAGGTAGGTAGGGGCAGGGCAGGGGCCGGCCAGGTTTTTGCAGAATTTCAGCATGGCGGCCGCCGAAGCAAAAATAAACTACAGCTGTTTCCCCCCGCCTTTTCCCACCCACTCCGCTGTTGCCTTTTTAGGTCCGACCTGCTCGCTTAAAATCCGCGGTGTGCGCCGTCCTCCCATCCCTGCCTTGGGTTGTCTGTTTTATTCCTCACACACCCTTCCAAGAGTCGTGATTTCTTGTTGGTTTTCTAAAATCTCTCTCTCTCCCCTTCCAGCCCTGTTCGCGCGGATTTCGTGAACTCCGAGATATCTTAGCATTTCTAAGTCTTAAGCGCCAGGTCTGACGAGCTGGGCTTGTGGCGCTCAGATACCTGGGTAGGTCATGCACACCCTCTGGGCGCTGAGCTGAGTGGAGCGAGCCGGAGGCGCGAGAGTGTCGTCGCCGGCCGCAAGGCATGGACGAGACCGTGTGGGGTCTTGTGAGGTGTCTATGGTCGCCCCCCTCACAGGCTAGCGGCCAGCCGCTATACCCCTAACTCGCACTCATGGGTGACGACAATTCATTGGATGAGTGTTTGCGAGCAGAAGCGCGTGTGCTGAATCTAGGAATTCCTAGATCGCACGCCGTGTGGTGCCGACGATAATCTTGTGTCACGCCTGTCCTCCTTGTTCGGCTCTGCCGAACAGCGAGCGTGCGGCAGCCGCTCTGGTTTTTTGGACCTTACATCTTTGTGCGAGGTAGTGCGACCCTAGCTCGAGCTCCCCGTCGCGGCACTGTCCCTGAGTGCGTCCCGCCTTGGCGGCACGCATTCGGCGAGGACAGTCCTGCTGACGGGAACGTGTCGCGCGCCGGCGACCATTGCGGCGGGGTGGTTGCGCTCACATAACATAGTCTTGTGACTCGCTCTTCACACCTTGGCACGCCGAGGGGGACAGCATCAGCCTCGATTTGCAAACACCTTGAATTGCAAGCTCGTGGCCTCGATCCAAATGGCGTCACCAATGGCACCGCCCTCCGCCCCTCCGCCCATGTTCTATCTCGCCGACATCGGCGGGAACCAGGCGCTCGACGCCTTCTACCTCCTGATCATGGGCGTCTTCGTCTTCTTCATGCAGGTGCGCGGCGCCCCGAAAGCGCGCGCCGAAACGCAGTACTCACCTCCCGATCGCCCTCGCAGTGCGGCTTCGCCTTGCTCGAGGCGGGGACGGTGCGCTCCAAGAACACCAAGAACATCCTCCTCAAAAACCTGCTCGACGCCTGCCTCGGCGCGTTTTGCCCACCGCCTCGCCCAAAACGCGTCCCGGGCATTCTCCCCCCCTCCCCCCCACACATGCGCGCGATCGCCCCTCCCAGGCGCCATCATCTGGTGGGCGTGGGGCATGGGCGTCGCGTACGGCGACTCGGGCACGGAAGACGGCAACGTCTTCATTGGCACCGCAGTCGGCGGGTCCGGCGCCTTCCTCGCCGCCGGCTGGGGCACGCCAGAGAAAGGT